ACTGTGGGAAATGGTGCAGAAATTGTGTGGCATATATTTAAACTCCCAAGTACATATCTCATCCCCGACACTTTTCTTTCAGAGCATAATTCGATTATCAGCTGACACCAACTTGCAGAGATGCACAGTAAATGTGCTAAATGCCACAGGCCTGTATCTGCTCTGATTTGAAGAATCTTCAGTGAACTCTGGTCAAAGCATCTCATTCTGTTCTGTGGCCGACAGCTGGACGGTTCTAACACACATCACTTCTGTCTCAGGATGTGGATGCACGCACAGATACAGACACACACACACACACGCACTCAGACACACACAGTCAACAGTCAAAAGGAGAGAGTGGCACCATAAAGAAGAATACCAACATTGAGGAAATTGTTACAGAGATGTGTGGATTTTATTAGCAGCTGTGGATCACAAGTGCCTCAGCCATGCTGTCTGACACACAAACACACACAATCATCCTCTGTTTGGGTGAGAGCATGTTAAGAGGGGATGTGATGCCGTCTACGTCTCTGCTCACAGTGCAAAACCTCACGGGTTTCTCACACAGGAATTCAGTCCTCGGACCGACATAGTTACTTTTGGAGGAATCAAAGAATTTATGTCATAATTAGAGAGAGAACATTTTTTTATTTTTGCAGATATCCTCTTGGAGACTCTCAGCGAATACAGAATTTATCCCATTTTTCTAAACATTGCAGGACAGTGCGGCTTGATTGAATTTAAAGGTCCAGTTTGTAAGATTTAGATGAAAGGGAACTATATACACATAATTTAATGTAGAATAATCCTCATGATGTTTTCACTAGTTCATTTCATCTAAATTGTATGAACTGTAGTTTTCTTTATCTCAGAAAAGCCCCATTTATATATAAATACTATATTTACATCGAGGGGACCCTCTCTACGGAGGCCGCCATGTTTTTGACATTAGTCCAGACTGGACAAACTAAACACCTTTGAGTTTTTATGACAACTGAAGCTACCACAGGTTCTCTATCATGTTTGGAAGGAGAGGGTGAGGTGAGGGGTGTTCAGATGCAACATGCAATTTCAACACTAGATTCTACACACTGTACCTTTAAGGGGACTGTGAGGCCTTGGTGGAGGTATGGGCAAAAGCAAAAAAAATTCTTCACAGGAAGCAACAACCAAGTTATTCTTCTGAAGATTTAAAATAGAGTCACTAACCACACAGCGAGGAAATGCTTGTGCTGAGCCAGTGGTTCCAGGAAACACACTGAAAGGAGCTGGAGCTCAACAGACAAACGCACAGGGAGAGCGATACTGTATGTTTACAAGTTTTATTGGTGTACTTTGACAATAACAATGATGGTATAAAAGAAAATCCCCATCATACAAATTTCAATAATCAAAAGATAATATGCCAATACACAAACAGATCCACGTAAGGCTGACATCAAGTTTTGACAAGTAGCTTCAAATGGCTTCAATTCAAGGAGTTTCTCTCCTTACAATCAGATAAGATAGATTTTAAATTTACTAATCTGCATTCTTTATTTTTTTAAGTAGTTAGCTTTCATACAAAAAAAAATTCGGTGTCGATTTTGGAGTAGATCATGTCGCTGGTTTGAGTGCCTCTGTTTCATTGCATTGTAAGCATATGGTGTTTTTTGGCTGACACAACGCTATCCTGCAGTGCTTTCCTTTGACCGTCACCTCACCCCTACTGCTGTCACTATCAAAGAGACTTCACATGCAGAAACAAGGACACTGAAATTCATCTGAAGATTGATGCCAACGTCCTGCTATGATACGTCTCTCCTACCGCTGCAGCATACTAATCGCGGGGAGGCCTCCGGAATGCAGAACACCTCTGAAGTAGTGAGAGGAATCTAAAATTCATGGGATAAGTATATTTTTAATTTAAAAAAGAAGGGAAAAAAGGCTGTTGTGCTGGGAAGCAGTGATGTAAAAACATTGATGTCGCTGTGTAAGCTTCACTTAAAAATGGCACCAGATAATTTGCCCCCCAGTCAAACCCCTCCAAAACTTGTTCTTAATGCTAGCATCTGTAGTGATTTAAGACCTTATAGAATTTCTAAAACACTACACACAACAATATTTACACTGATCAATATGATGATATGCACTTTTTTCATTTTAAATATTTTTGCTTATAAAAAAAACACAACTTGAGTGAAAAATAAACAACACTGCAATAAATTAAGAAGCTTTAAGGCTGCCAGTCTTGTCAGATGCCCAAAAAAAAATGGTCCCTTCATTTAAACTGGCACAGAATGGATCAGAGCAGGTGAGATTATGGTACAATGAAGAATGTTTTGACAGCAGCAGGCTTGGTCTTGTTCTGGACTGAGATCACATACATGGTATATGTAACAGGAACAAGACTAGCCAGCATGCTAACAATATTTCCTGTATTCAATAAAAGCATGAGGCTGATTTGCTCCTGTTACTACGCCATCTAGTGGACAGAGCTGTCCAGCAGTCAGAGATAACCCTCCTTTTTTTGGAAATGGTGTGATTAAGCTGCTCAATCTACATTATGGAGTCCAATACTGACTCTAAAAGAATATCTACTGTACGTCATCCAGACGGCCTCCTTATATCGAGAGGTCCCTCTGCGCCTGAATCTTCACCTGAATACTCAAATTAAAACCATTTGGCTTTCCGCTATACGTCCATCTAGCTTTTAACTTAAAGCAATGAAAATAAAAGGTAGTATATAATGAAATTATGTAAGTGTCAAGAACCAGATAATAACCTACAAGTTCTGTGAGAACCAGGTCACAATAGATCATGTCCTTATCAGTGCTGGAAAACAAAAAGCAAAATAAAAAACAAACTCAAACTCCAGATGGAGGACAGGCAGAGCCATTTCACTCAAACACACATGGAAAAGAAAACTTAACAAACACGCTGCTACTGTCCTTGAATTACACTGGGTGCCTCCCGAGTGACTGGCGAGGAGGTAAAGGCGTGCTTCTGCTTGTGGCAACAAATAAACATATTAGCTTCACCTGGCAGGATGAGAAGGCATCAGGATTAATTCATGTTTTCGATGTTAAGACACAGAACATCTATGCCACTTAATAGCAGATTGGAATCAAATGCCAAAGCCATAAAAGCTGGAAGGCTGCTTTGCCTGTTGATACTCGTCTTTCTGTCAGGGTTGGTTCCAGTAAGCACGTAGAAAGAGACTCCCTTTCAACAGGAGCTCCAGAAGGTCAGCACCATTGATTATCAATTAGAATAAAGGCAGCGCCCAGTGAAAGACAGTGACTACTAGCATTTTCTGATCAGGCATCTTTCTCTTCCTGTGGTTGTCACACAAAATGGCCTCCTCCAACGTGTCTGTTCAGCAGATTGATACACACCGTTCCGTTTCATCACAAACAAGCCCCCCCCCCCACCCATCATATCTGAAGAGGAAAACCTGCGTCTGAATGAAACACAACAGTTCCCAGTTTACACAGACCCGAACCTTCACGATCCCACACATATACACATTACTACAGGTTTCAGTGCATCTAACACTGTCATACAGTATGTCACCTACTAAATCATCACATCAATCGCAAGAAAAATAAAAACTGAACAATTCCAGAAAATAATCCATAAAAGATCAAATAAATAAAAAGAGGTCCAGCCTCTTTGCTTCTTTTTTTTCTCACTGTTGGAACACAACAAATTGTCAGACACCCACATTTTCCCCAAATAGATACATCTTAAAAAATGCATACAAGGCGATTTGTGTGAAATGAAGTAGCTGCATGACTAGAAGACAGCTAGTGAGGAAAGTGTCTGTATGTGTGTATATGTATGTGTGTTTTTTTCCATTGAGGAACTATGTGTACAGTATTGGGATATATTTTACTTGAAATCAACACTGTCAAACACACAAATCAGGGAGGGAAATGTTAGCAACTGCTGCAAACTGCCATAGTGCTGTCAGTCTGTGCAGTTAGGTTTCATGCCATGCGACGAAAACTCTGCTGAGACTACCACTACCTTGAGTCTGATTCACAGAACTCCCTGGACAAAACCTGCCAAAAACTGCCTACAAGCTAGCAGGGATAATCAGTTTATCACCTGATGTCTCAGATAAGCAATGGGCTCTGCGTTTTTCTCCCCATTTCCAAGTCAAGATAAAGAAGTGTCAGTAAAAAAAAACAAAGGCAGCCATAGATACATTACTGAAGAGATTTCACAGCACCCACAGTGAAGGAGGGCTGGCTGACGTCATATACAAACACAAGACAATCTGAAAAATAACACAGACAAAGCTTCTGTAAACACCAGTGACAGCAATCAAGTATTTTATAATCCTCTCCTGTATAAATGAACGTGAGTAAACATCAAGGATGTTGGATAAAAAAAGAGAGTAAAGAAAAAAAGGCGACAGTTTATCTTTCCCTGGCCTGGACTTCCACTACGCACGCAACAAATGTGAGGTCTCGAGTCAAGTGGGTCAAAGTTTCAGGGGTGAACACTCCTGGAGGTCACCCTGAAGACTTCGCACTGAAAACAGACTGCACACAGGCCATTTGCATAGCTCTCCCTCACTTTTACACACACACACACGCGCGCACACACACAGGCGCACACACACAAACACACACACGGTACTGAAAAGGGTGGCATGTTTGCTTAGCCAAAGGTGTGTTGAATGTGAAATTTGCATACACAGTCACTCGTTCTCTGTAATTCAATGAGGGTATGCTAGCACCCGTGCTATTGCATCTGTATAGTGAGGAAGTCTGCTGTCTGCTATTACAGCTTATTGCTAACAGGATGAGCATTGCTTTCCTACATACAGCCATATCCAGGCAGCCAGAACATCCAACGTAACTATGCAAACACAAACATCACAGTCTGTAAATGGTATTTTCACAGGACAAATTATAGTTGTTACGAGGTGATTAGAATTTATGATCTCCAAACTTAGGATAAATTATTTTACATACAGTATTCATATATATATATATATATATATATATATATATACGAATGAAAACACTCACTCTTTATATATTTTCTCTTGCTCTCTTTAGTTGTAGATTTGGCATACCTTCTGCAGAACCAGCTGCAGGAATCCACATGGTTGAAGTAGCTATGTGGTTAGAAGCTGTGGAGTGTGTGTGTGTGTGTGTGTGTGTGTGTGTGTGTGTGTGAGAATATTTTTGAATGTTTTCACAGGTTTACTGCATTTGTGTAAAATAAGTGCAAGAGCAAAGTAAAAATCAAAGCCTCAGGGACCGTGTCAGCACATGCAAGTCAAACTGTTTGTGTGCGTGCATGTGTGGCGTGTGCATGCACTTGAATGAGCGTGTGTATCATGGCCTATTGTAATAAATGAGCACAGGAGTGAAGGGCCAAACTCATCGTTGACCGACTGAATCAGAAAATGAACGGATGAATGAATGGATGCTGAAGGCCAAAATGGTGCAAAAGGCATGTGGAGAGAGAAGACTAGATAAGCCCAGATGAGAGGAGTGATGGACTGTAGCGCAGCATTTATCCTTATTTTCTTATATGATTTATCCAACATACTTATAAGTCTTCTTTTTTTTTTTTTTGCATACAAACAAAAGAAATAAAGCAAAGTATCAATCAACCGAAAAGTCCTAAGCAGTACTGCAACTGGTGATATATGGCTGATGTCCCAGAGGACTTTGATTCCCATGTGGCCTGCAGTCCAGCTGTGTCTACGTCAGTAGACGGCTATGGGTGCAAGCTTTCTGCTCAAGCTGACTGTGATGTTGGTGTAGAGAGGCCTCCTGGACAATGAAGGGGAGTAGTTTAGGTTGTTAAGACCATCCACTTTCTGTCTCTCCTTTGAGTGGCGTAGCAGACTATACCTGAGGAGAGGAGAGGTTTCACTTTGTTTCACTCTGTGTACTTCATAGTTCAAATTAGACAAGTTACATCAATTTGCACACTCATTAATGAACAATTAGGAATAAATATGAAGAGGAACAGGTTTAATTATCCTACAGTGTTTAGATGGAAACTTGATGAGAACATCACTGATTGTGGTTTAGACAGAAAGTGACACTTGCACATTTTTTACATAGGAGTGATCCATCAGCAGATCACTCCCTCAGTGCAACTTCATCATGAGCTTTTTAAATAAGATTAACCATAGAAAATTCATCTTTGAGAAATATTTGAGAAGTTATTTTATTGTCTCTGCCTCTAAAGAGCATTTATTCTTTGGGCTGTTTAAAAAGAAACCTCTATTCTAAGGGCTGTTTTTAGTAACTTCATTTGAGCAGAGAGCAGAAGGAGCAACGATTGGAATTCAGCCCTGATGCGTACAAACATGTCACATGCAAAGTCTTTAAAAGAGTCGAAATTCTCTCAAAGTTACTGCTTTTCATGTGACTGGCTTACATCACATGAGGCTAAGCCACATTCCAATTATCAGCTTCCACATTTAACCAAAGGGTGTGTGTGTGTGTGTTTACGTGGGAATGAGCTGTGAGTGCATGCACACTAACCTTCCCAGGAACTGGACTTCCCCACGATGGTGATGTGGAATGGACATGTAGCGCCCCTGCTCTCCGCGCGGTCTACTCACTGTGAAATTGGCAAACTGCACCCTACACGAACACATTGAGAGCTCATTAATGCATAATATATAGTCAGGCGGTATTGTTTTCATAAGTGTAATAATTATGACGCTGATGAGCAAAATGTCATGCTACATGCTGTCAGTGACATGGCAGAGAGATAGAGGAAGGCTCAAACTAACTGCACACAAAAGGGATCATTAGGCCAAATAAAGACACATACACATGGCAATTGGTAATAATCGGGGGTGTATATTGAGAGTTACAATAGAAAGAAAAAAAGAAATAATACAAGATACAAAGGCTTCCCTCACCTATTCCAGAGGTCATCGTCCTCTCCTCCCCAGCCCCAGAAGGCATTAGGAAATCCATTAATCTTCTTGAACTGCTTCACCGTCATGCCACTGACACCGCCAAAGAACTCATTATATGGAAGCCTTGGAGGGACAATTACACATATTATATTCATGTTAAGGAAGAAACACATTCATTGGACGTGGTGACATAATCCAGACTCACATGTAAGAGTACTTGTCGAGCTTGACCGCAAAGTGGCGGGGCATGTCTGTGCAGCCGTAGTAGTTCCTGTCATTCTCCATGAGGTGGTCCACATCGTGGAAGACAAGACAGTCCCAGTCCAGGTCCTTCATAGCCTCCTTGTAGCCCACGTTGAACAACATGGCTCGGTTAAATGGCTCCGTGCCACCCTAAAGAAAGAATATATCAAAGAGATGATTTTGTTTTATTACAATTCCAGTTTTCGACAGTAGTTACGTTCAATCATTTCAAACCATGGGTATCTACTGCCGGCCTAAGAAAGTGTCAGGAATCACATGGATAAATGTTAAACCCTGCAAATAACCATAAAATAAATGTGTGCATGTACCTGCTCTACGACATAAAAGGCAAACTGGAGTTTCTGTTTCTGCAGCACTGGCACCAGGTGTCTCAGGAGGATTGGTAAGTGTTCGTGTCTGTTCCTAAATGGGACAAGGATTGCCACCTGGAAACACAGAATGGAGGAGAATACAATACATATGAATATAACAAAAATCTGCAAGAAAATGCGGTAGATAGCACAGCAGCGCAAACGGTACCGGCATCCTGTCTGTCCATACTCACCCTTTTATACAGACGTTACAAAGTAAACAAGCAAGTATGAGCAAAGATTATATTGCAAGGAATTTAAAAAAACCCACCCCTCTTTTGTAAGCACTTCCCTGGAAAAAATGGGTTTCTGTGAAAGTTTGATATGATCAATGTCCTATGCTTCATTGCTCTGGTGAACCCTGGTGCTCACTCTGAATCACCATCTTTCCTCAGCATAATCCCTAGCCACTAGGACTGGATGTCAGCTGAGGCCAGTGCTCTTTGCACCTTCCCTTGAATCACTAGCTCAAATTACTTGTCTACCGCTAAACCTCTCAGTTAAGTTCAGTATTCCAGTACATTGAGTAAAAGTGTGAAGAAATCAGCTGTAGCACACTGGTTTGTGGAGCTAAAGATAATAATCTCACAGTTACTATCAGTTAAAACTTTTTTGTGCCCATTTTAGTTGTGGAGATTTTGGGAATACTTTCCAATGAACTCATGTTGGGGTTAGTGAGGGTGAGACTTCATATGGAAAATGAGGTAAATCATACTGCCCCTGCTTTCATGAAGTTTTCACTGTTCCAGAGATGTGCTGATTCAAACTTAAGGTCATTTGAAGGATGTAGGTTGAGTTGCTGTTGAACTGCGGAGATGTGTTTCTGTTGATATGAATAGGGTTGACAAAACAACTCTACCAAGCCAGAGAGAAACCCTCTGGTTTGTGGATGACCTGCCCTACCTCCAAGCTCTGCCTTTTCAGATGCAGGTGACTGACAAAACAGATTCAATGCTCCTTGTAAAGTCTCAGAAGTGTACGAGAGGTAAGAACACTTTTTTTCTCCAAATTCTTCTATTTGGTGTTTTGATGAGAGAGATTGTTATCTAAAGCTGCTTTCAGACATGCACTGAACTCCACAGTTCCTCTGGATTTTATGTGTAACACACGACAGACACAAAAATGAAAAAAACTAAATGAAACCTAAAATCTTCGGATGACACAGACGTAGAAGACACTGTGTCAATCCACCTCTTACCTGAAAAATGTGGCGCATTTGTTGCTGTTGTTGTGAACACAAGAACCTCCAGCTGTGTTGTGCATGTGTGAAAGGCAAACTGCGGATAAACTCCTTAGCCAATTCTCTGACTTACCTTCCAGCGAGGTAAACAATCATGGGGCTTCCAGTAGCCTCCTGGGGCAATGCTTGGCTCTTCTCCTAGCAATGATCTCTCCACCTCCTCCAGCGATACCTCACTCATGTTCACCTGCAACCTGCCCTCTGTGTGTGTGTGTGTTGAGATGAAATAATGAAAAGAGAAGGATCCAATGTAATAAGATAGAGAGAACAGAATGGAAAGAAATATGGAAAAGGAGGGAGGGGATAAACAAAAGAAAAATGCTTGTTAAAGCCTGTAACAGTGGAGCGATTTGGAACATAAATTGCTGGGTAAAGCTTTTCTGTGCGATAACAACATATGCCATGCATCATCAATCACAGCTGAAATAAAACACAAGCGTAGAACCATTTCACTACTCATTATTAGGACAAACATTTACAGAGGCACAATGAAAGTCCACTCAACATTTAACATGGGCCAAAGAAATCAAATGAGCCACTGTTTAACATGATGAAAGGTCAACCAAGGAGACTGAGAGACATTTTCTAGTCTGATCCTGTACATACATGTATATTACACAATCAGGAGCCAGGATCAATGCCAAGCATTAAAACACAACTCTAACGGTGTACTTACTCATGGAGGGCAGCCTGTCAGGACAAACCTCAGAGGGGAGGTATGTGAAGCCCTCGGGGAGGTACGTGGGGGGAGGAGCATCGCTATCACTCAAGTTGAAATCATACGAATAATCTGCAATCCCGCACATATACATGTATCACCATCAAGATTTATTATTTACACATGAATGAGTCGCCAACATGAGTCATTTAATTTGTGTGGGAGGCTGAGTTGTGCCCTTCTAAGTGCATACAACATATGAGCTTCAGGTAAAATTTCTATTACACCTTGGCGTTTCAGGCTGGATGTTCTTACCTGTGCCATTGACGCTGTATGCCCCTCTCACCACCTGCTCCAGTACCTGGGCCCCGATGTATTTCACATTCTCTCTGATCTGGATCCCTCTGGCTTGGACCATGAACACGTACTCATTCACTGTGGACAGAAGGGAAGAAAGACATGAAAGTTAGTTTAATTTTGTTTCTCCTGGGAACGTCACACATGGTTCTACCCAGAAGTATTGTATTGTAATTGTAACACAATACACATTAAGCCTTATAACCCATGGTAGTGCATTCATTCTCACTGGCATCTTCACACATGTTTTCTCATGCTAATCGGTTATCGTTTGATGATGAATTAACCTATGGGGGGAAACAGACAACATTTTGAAGACTGTATACATTTTACAGGTCATTTCTTTGTCACACAAGTCGAACATTTCTCTTAGTATTTGTAGGCGTTTTTCGGTCCTGACGACCTTTTGATTAATCTCTATTAACAGCACACAGATACATTTAGAAGTTGATAGCTGATGCATTCCCTAAATCTTGTCCCTCGCCTATACAGAATCATATTTGTAGAGATTACTCATGAACTTCTACTCGTCCTCCTTCCATTCCCCCTCTTTGTTGTGAAACAATATAATGCAGGAAGTTAAAATTTTTGTCAAAACACACTCCTCCACTTGATCCGAAATTATTATCTGCCTTGATCAGTTAACGCTGTGGGGGGGGTTTCCCAGCCACACATTACGGGTCGTTCATTGCAAAGAAGCCAACTACTGGAATGTTAATCTATAATGATGGGGGGATGCGAGCTAATAAAGATACAACTCAAAGTTATTTAAGAGCTGGAAAGAGACTGAGATAAGAAACTTGAAATGATTGGTGACTTCCCTCTTTGTGTGCACGATAACTGCAATGTTTTGAAATGTGATATTTTTTATTGACATACATGAAGTATTCCCTGGAAATATTGTACAAATGTTGAAAATTTTGTGATGTTAGAGAAAGTTAAAAAAAAATCTGGATCTGCCCCCTGATGCAGATCCCCAACAAAATTGAATTTGTTCTTGCCTGATTCATCATTACCAGGTTTCATGTAAATCCTTTTAGTTGTTTTTGTGTAATCTTGCTCACAAACTATCAAACATATAAACCAAGAAATAAACTGACGGGTAAAATATAACTTGAGAGTGGTTCAAGCATAAAATGTTTGGTCCTGTAGTCAAGTTCCTAGAATAGCCTGTGCCAGGTTCCGCTTTATAAACAATAACCAGCACCATCAACATTCAATCAAGCACCAGCCATGCATCCTTAGATCATGTTAGAAATCTCTTATTGCTGCTGTTCAGTAGATTAGCATGATGGTTTCTATTGGGAGGGTTACCAGAGAAGCTTAGTACAAGTTCCGCTCAGTGTGTGCTGACCTAAATAAGTACAACAAAAGGTCAACCACAGAAACAGAAGCTACACAGTGGAACAGAGGAAAGAGAAGATGTAGACTAACTAAACAGATTCCTCCAGCACACCTCACTCAACTGTGGGCTTGGGGTGATTATATATACACAGTTTGCAACTGTGTGTTGCTGATTTACTGAATAGGTGACTCACACAAGTTTCTGATGCCAGGATATGACAAAGGGACAGTTTGTCCACAAGTGCCGGACTAACATCCAGGATCATTGACTACTACTCCTGTTTCTTTGTTTTGAGAAGCAGGCCAGCACAATGTGGCCAAACTGTGAATTACAGCCTGAGTGAATCTATATCCAACTCTCCGGCCATGGATCCAATCAACATTCATTTTAAAGCAATGCCAAAATGATCCACACCCTTCAGCTGGTCTGTGCAGATGTGTGTCTCGGCATGTGTTGCAGTGCTCGTGTGTAATAATGCTGAACTAGAAATCCACAGGAAGTGATTTGCCATTAGTAATTGTGTTACAGTTTCCATCACATTCATCTTGTTTTATACAAACTGCCTGGCTTGCAGGACTAGAGACTTGTGGTGCAGCAATAACTGCAATCATTTTACCTCTGTAACACACAAATATTACTGTGGAGCCAGAGCAAATCTAAGCAGGATAGAAACTACAAAAAGAAAAGCAAGAATACAGGGCAGATCCTGTTCTCTCCCTCTTGCTGTAGGATGCAAAAGGGGATGGACACACACATGCAGACACACACACACACACACACAC